TTTAGAGGAATTTTTATGTAAGCTTTTTGAACAATATCGCATTGAAAATTGTGGCAAACAATATTGAATATGTGTGGCAACTGACAGGTATATTATTATTATTATTTTCCCAACCCACCCATTTTTTAAGGGAAAAGCCCTGGGGACGAGGTTGTTATTTTCCAATACTTTTTATTTTTATTGTTATTTGTTTTTGTTACTTACTGACATATTTATTTACTTATTTATTCTTTTACTTTCTGCTGTGTATTAATGTTGTTAATTTGCTGTCAATAATAAAAAAAGAAAAATCTTGTTTCACACGCCCTTAGTCAGTTAATTATGCGAGTTAACAAGCCTACATTTGCATAAAAATTGGCTCAGCTCTACAGTAAAAACCCAAAGGGACATTCTTGACTTATTGTTATAAAAACAAAAAAACAATTAGGATTACAACCAGACACGTTTCTTTTAAAGACACAAGAAATCAACTTTATGACCGTTAAATATTTGCAAAAGACAAAATAAGGAAATCTAGCTCTTTTTTACACAATTAATAATTTTTTACTTACCCCTCTCCTCCTCCTTTTTTGTTTTCTTTTGTTTCCTTCCTCCTCCTCCTCATACGTTTGCAGAGTTGGGACCCTCTCAGGTTTACGCTTTTATAATTAGTATTTTTGAATACTTAGATTGCTAGAATTTTAATTTAATGATAGAGTTTAGTTTATGACAAGTTATACGACAGCTTTTAGCAAGGTGTTTTTCTGACGGTTGTTTTGAAAGGAGACTCTTGGGAATCTCAGCTATTTGCCTATTTACCTCTTGCGAAATCGCCACCGGAGCGTGAAACGGTTGTCTCCGTTTCTGCTCAGAAACAGACAAACATTCCAACGATATTTAACTGTATGACGTTTGTATACTTACAGAAGTCTATGAAACAGTATATAAATGGACATGCAGCGAATCAGAGTTTTTCGGCATACCCGAATTTCATTCGATATTCAAACATATCTACTCTTAAAAAGTCAGAGATCGTCTAAAAGCTCAACAGAACTTGCTTGCATTTGATCTCCTGCATTGTAAAAATGTAATAGGTTATGTGTATGAATATGTATGGTAAAAAAAAGGGAATTCTTCTTCTCATAAATGTATTTCTAAGACGTGTGCTGCTTATTGTCTACCCCCATGTAGCTCTAAAGAATTTCCTATGAAAAAAGAGGAAACAGAAGTCAAGAAAGAATGATGCAACGATAAAAAACTTCTCTTCATACATCAAGGATCGGGACCTTCAAGAAGCGATAAAACTAGCTATATTAGAACTTTAAACGATAAAAAATGACAGAGGAAATATTAAAAAATATAGATGACCTCGAAAAGCATCTTACAAAAGCCAAAACGAATAACAGCGACTTCCAAAGAGCAATATATAACCACAACCAACACCTGGGCATTGCCCAGAAAATCGACGACAGGGCCGGAGAAGGATGTGCCTATGCCAATCTCGGCAATGCTTATGATTCCCTCGACAAATTCCAAGAAGCAATATATTACCACAACCAACACTTGAGCATTGCCCAGGAAGTCAGCGACAAGGCCAGAGAAGGACGTGCCTACTGCAATCTCGGCAGTGCATATCAGTTCCTCGGCAAATTCCAAGAAGCAATAAATTACCACAACCAAGACCTGAGCATTGCCCAGGAAGTCGGCAACAGGGCCGGAGAAGGACGTGCCTATTGCAATCTCGGCAATGCTTATCAATCCCTCGGCTTATTCCAAAAAGCAATAAATTACCACAACCAACACCTGAGCATTACCCGGGAAGTCGGCGACAGGACCGGAGAAGGACGTGCCTATTGCAATCTCGGCATTGCTTATCGCTCCTTCGGCAACTTCCAAGAAGCAATAAATTACCACAACCAACACCTGAACATTGCCCAGGAAGTCGGCGACAGGGCCGGAGAAGGACTTGCCTATGGCAATCTCGGCAATGCTTATGACTCCCTCGGCAAATTTCAAGAAGCAATAAATTACCACAACCAAGACCTGAACATTGCCCAGGAAGTCGGCGACAGGGCCGGAGAAGGACTTGCCTATGGCAATCTCGGCAATGCTTATCGCTCCCTCGGAAAATTTCGAGAAGCAATAAATTACCACAACCAAGACCTGAACATTGCCCAGGAAGTCGGCGACAGGGCCGGAGAAGGACGTGCCTATGCCAATCTCGGCAATGCTTATGACTCCCTCGGCAAATTTCAAGAAGCAATAAATTACCACAACCAACACCTGAACATTGCCCAGGAAGTCGGCGACAGGGCCGGAGAAGGACGTGCCTATGGCAATCTCGGCAATGCTTATGACTCCCTCGGCAAATTTCAAGAAGCAATAAATTACCACAACCAACACCTGAACATTGCCCAGGAAGTCAGCGACAGGGCCGGAGAAGGACGTGCCTATGGCAATCTCGGCAATGCTTATGACTCCCTCGGCAAATTTCAAGAAGCAATAAATTACCACAACCAACACCTGAACATTGCCCAGGAAGTCAGCGACAGGGCCGGAGAAGGACGTGCCTATGGCAATCTCGGCAATGCTTATGACTCCCTCGGCAAATTTCAAGAAGCAATAAATTACCACAACCAACACCTGAACATTGCCCAGGAAGTCGGTGACAGGGCCGGAGAAGGATGTGCCTATTGCAATCTCGGCAATGATTACTACTCCCTCAACGACTTCCAAAAAGCATCAGTGTATTACAAACAGCACCTGATTATTGTCAGGGAGGTTAGTGACAGGGCCGGAGAAGGAGTTGCCTATGGCAATCTGGGTATGGTTCAATACTCCCTCAAAAGCTTTCAACAAGCAATAGAGTATCAAAAGAAATACCTGAGCATTGCCAAGGAAGTCCGCGACAGGGCTGGAGAAGGGGTTGCCTATTACTATCTCGGCCTGGCTTATTGGTCCCTCGACGAGTTTCAACAAGCAATGGATTACTTAAGGCTATTTCTGAGCATTGCCGAGGAAGTCGGTATTAAGTTCTTTGAAGGACAGGCACATTGCATGCTGGGTGGTTGTCTTTTAGAGTTAGGTTGTTGGAATGAGGCTTTATTTCATTTTATCACCAGCGTAGAAATCCTTGATGCCATCAGGGCCAGTTTCATTTCTGAAGATGCACTGAAAATAAGTTTTCGCAATCTTTATAAATGTGCCTACACTTTTTTATGGCAAGTTCTAATAATGCTTCAATTGACGGATGAGGCTTTATACGCTGCCGAGAAGGGACGAGCACAGGCCCTAGTAGATGCGTTGAAAATAAAGTATGGCTTAACATCTCTTTCGCTAAAGTCAAATGAATCTGAAGAAGAACTCACAATCATTTTAAAGAAGATATCTGTTTCGACAGTTTTTCTGGCAGTTCAAAAAGAAACAATCAACATGTGGGTCCTGAGGAAGGAAAGGAAAGCTATTTTTAGGCAAGCGGAGCTTAAAGTTGAAGGTGCGCACGAAGATTCTTTTGCTGTACTTTTAGAAACTACTTTGAAAAACATTAGCGCTGGCGTCAATGTTACGTGCGAGAATCGGTCATTGAATGAGCGAGAGGATAACCAAACTTGCAGTACTGAAAAGGAGGATCAAACACCGGAGCTGTCGCACGATACTATCGACTGTTTTAAGCCACTGTATAATGCAGTCATTGGTCCCATTGAAGACTTGCTTTGTGATGATGAACTCAGTATAGTCCCTGATGGCGCTTTATCCTTAGCTCCATGGGCCGCTCTAAGTGAATCTTTAAGGATCCGCACAGTTCCCTCACTGACAAGTTTGAAATTCATCACAGATTCTCCAGACGAATACCACTGTAAAAGTGGCGTCCTGCTTGTTGGAGATCCATGTCTGAAGAAAGTTACAAATAAAGGGGGTTATCCTATTTATGACCAACTGGAATACGCAAAAAAGGAAGTGGAGATGATTGGAGAAATTCTTAAGTGCCAACCACTGACGGGAGAAGCAGCGACCAAAAAAGAAGTTCTTCGCAGAATAAATTCAGTTGCTTTGGTTCACATTGCAGCGCACGGAAGTAAAGAAACTGGTGAAATTGCTTTGGCTCCAGACCCTTGCTGGAAATCCGAGATTCCTGAGGAGGACTATTTTTTGAGAATGTCTGATATACAAGCTGTGAAACTGAGAGCCAGGCTGGTTGTCCTTAGTTGCTGTCATAGTGGTCAAGGGGAGGTCTCGTCTGAGGGTGTGGTCGGTATTGCTCGGGCTTTCTTGTTTGCTGGTGCTCGTTCCGTGGTGGCGACACTCTGGGCAATTAATGACGAAACAACCCTGGAGTTTATGAAACGTTTTTACCAACACCTGAGAGGTGGAGAAAGTGCCAGTTCTGCTCTTCAGAGGGCCATGAAATGTCTGCGGGACTCGGAAAAGTTTTCTGCCCCAAAGTACTGGGCTCCATTTGTACTGATTGGTGATGACGTTACGATTGAATTTGATGAAAGTAACCGCGAAAGTCGTAAGTAGAAGAAGTTTTTATTTTGCAAATTTTCGATTTTCATTGTGTCGAATTCCAAAAAAATAAGTTGCAAAAATAACAATCAAAAAGCATCTTTTAAAAAAGTTTAAGATAATTGGCAGATTCGTTTGTAACTAGGAAAACAAGTGCAAATCTTGTAAAAATAAGAATGTAATGGGTGGCTACTGTTCGATTGCTGGCACTCAATACGATTCTATTCGTTCCAAACTGTTAACAATTAAATTAA